GGGGGGGGGGGGGAGCTAGTTTCAAGACGTAACATTCGACCTTTGCCCTCATGATCACATTCAAAATTTCTTCTATTTTTTTTCCTTCTTTTTTCTGCTTTTCAAATTCATAAATAGTCCTTTTACACTTGCAGAGATTTGGTTCCAACAAGAAACATAGCCGGGCGTGCATTATTACAAGCACGTCCTATGGAGGGAATACCATACTTCAGATTTCAACCGACACCACAAACCCCAAGAAGAAATAATCCTCCGCATCTCGCATTTGCTCCCTCACCATCTCCATCTCCATCTCCATCTCCATTGCCATCTCCATCTCCATCTCCATTGCCATCTCCATCTCCATCTCCATTGCCATCTCCATCTCCATCTCCATCTCCATCTCCATCTCCATCTCCATCCACAAATCAATCTCCACCATCCAACGACACATCTCGTGATAATCGTATATTTCCATCTGCAGTTCCTGCACCAGAACAAAGGCCACCCACACAGAATAATAACTCCGCAAGTAATCTCGGGCTCATATTGCTAGGAGCCATAGGTGGGCCTGCATTGCTTGCTTTTATAGTCCTTTTTGTCTTCTGCTGTAGAACTGGAAAAGTGGGTTCTGTTAAGCCGTGGGCCACGGGATTAAGCGGACAACTGCAAAAAGCATTTGTAACTGGTGAGTTTAACTTCTTATTGGGAATTTTAAATTTGGCAATAGTAGATACTAGATAATAACAAACTTATGTCAATTGGTTTCTACTAAAGTAATAATACAAAACCTCAAGGTTCGTTTTGTAATTATATATATATATATATATATATATATATATATATATATATATATATATATGTATATATGTATATGCAGAGTCCCATAAGAGTGCTATCTGATTGATACGAGTTGAACTCAATGCCTTGTTGTTTATTATAGTAAAACATTTTTATATCAAATATTGAATTTATCTCCTCTTTGGCGTTTAGGTGTCCCAAAGCTCAAGAGATCAGAAATCGAGGCCGCTTGTGAAGATTTTAGCAACGTGATTGGATCAACATCCGTTTGTACCTTCTATAAGGGCACATTATCCAGTGGGGTCGAGATAGCCGTCGTATCAATAGCTGCCACGTCAGCAAAAGAGTGGTCAAGTAATCTCGAGACCCAGTTCAGAAAGAAGGTGCGTTTTTTTGTCGTCATGTCGAAAATTGGAAGTTTCCACACAAACATTTTGAGTTACGCTTATGGATAATCTTTGGAATATTCAAGGGATACTAAAATTCTTTTGATGTGAACTTTATTTAGATTGACACACTATCAAAAGTGAATCACAAGAATTTCGCCAACCTGCTCGGTTATTGTGAGGATGGTCAACCTTTTACTAGGATGATGGTTTTCGAGTATGCTCCCAATGGGACTCTCTTTGAGCATATACACAGTGAGTTTTTTAAATTCTTCATCTCATCGCATAGTTATTTGATTTAATTTATGTTTTTTTTTTCCATTTTAAGCTCCGCTTAGTTGTTTACGTTTCCCATTGGGCTTGTTTCATTGTAAGTAATTCGTTTCCGACCTAAGAAGTTTTTGAAAGTCCAGTTAAGTTGATTCCCTTTTTATATCTACCTTGGCTTAGCAACTATAGGTAAAAAATAGGAAGGACACTATGACTTGGCCACACAATTTCAATATTTCACCTTCATATCATGCAACAGAACAAAATCCCCCCGAGCCTCAAAGTTATACATCTTAAATCCAAATGTTGTGTCCTCATTTTTAGGGTGTGTTTGCTAACGCACTATAAGCTAACTCATAACTTGTTCAGTTAGCTTATAAATTGTATGTATATAAATAAGTTTGGTTGGTTTGGTAGAACGAATTTTTAATGGGTAGCTTTTCAAATAAGCCGGTTGAAATTTTTATTTTAGCTGGCTTATCAACTTATTTTACCAAACATTTTTATCATATCACATAGCTTGTTAGCTTGTGATAGCTTTTCAGCCATAAGCTCGAAATTCACTTATAAGCTATCATCTAGTTTTACCAAACATAACCTTACAAACCACAACCACAAAATTTTACACAAGTCATTAAAACATTTTTCTTTATCAAACTCCGTGCAGTAAAAGAAGCCGAACACTTGGACTGGCTAATGCGGCTACGGATAGCCATGGGCATGGCTTACTGCCTAAGCCACATGCACCAGCTCAAGCCCCCGCTGTCCCACAGGAACCTAACCTCTTCATCTGTCTACCTAACCGAAGACTACGCAGCAAAAATCTCCGATTTCGTCTTTTGGGATTGTTCGCCCAACAGCCGAACGACCCCTCCGGACAATGTCTACAGCTTCGGAGTCATACTTTTCGAGTTGATGACCGGTCGGCTCCCTTACTCGACAGGGGGTGGAGGCTCGGGAATGAAGGACTGGGCGGAGGATTATCTTACGCGGGGGGATTCACTGAGGGATATCGTGGACCCCACGCTGGCTACGTACAGCGAGGATCAGCTGTTGGGGATTGGGGATGTGATTCGGGCCTGCGTGGATCCCGACCCAATAAGGAGGATTTCCATGAGGGAGGTTTGTGAGAGGCTGAAGGGGGTGACGGGGATCGGGCCTGATGGGGCTGTCCCGAAACTTTCGCCACTTTGGTGGGCCGAGATCGAGATTATGTCCAATGATGTTAGTTGAAAATTTTGTAAGTACTGAGTTTTTTTTTTTTTTTTTTTTT